ATGTGAACATTTATATGTAAGGAATTATAGCCCAAGTGGAAGTGCGACAATAATGTGCACTGAGGACAATTTGAGCTATGAGGGACGTTTTTCAGTCAAAGACTGTTTAGATCCAACATAATTGGGATTCCTTTGGTAGAATTTCAATGAGATTATACTGAATAGAGCTGTGCGATGTTTACTCAATGAATGCGTACAAAGACCTCTCTCTAATATCGCTTGGTTAGCAATCCTTTAAAGCTATCTTTTATTAAAAAAAAATAAAAGAACAAGAAAAGACCACCAACCTAGAAATGCTTAAAATCAACGTCATACGACTGAAGAAAATCAAATGACAGAAGAACGGAACAACGACAAAAATATAGCACTAGAAATGTGCTAAAATACTGATGGCAAAATCATGAAAAGTGGAAGGCTCTGTCGGTTCAGTAGAAGTAGTGACATTCACGCTCATCTCGGCTTAGTTGCGGTTGAGACTTGTCGACATCGACGTCGATGCTGTCTCTTCTGCTCCGTATGATTGTTAGAAATGTGCAACAGCATAGAACTGTCGCTAACACCGATAACGGCACGAAGATGAAGATCCTATAAGAGATTTCATTTATTACACATGAGCAGCACAAGCATGTTAAGGGTGTGTGTAACGCTCTGACTAGGGGTGCTGTATAATACAGACAAAGTAAAAAACCTTCGAAGGATTTTGGACAAATTCCAGGAACCAAAAAAGAAACCGCCGAAGCGAATGTCTTATTATCATAAGAGAGATGTGATAGCAGACTCACTAGCAAACTTAGGAACACAAACTTCTCCAGTTTTTGAGAATCAACTTAGTGAACTTGCCAACGAAGAATGAATGTGACATGTTTTTTTCCAGTAGACAATAACAATGTTAATAATGATGGTAGTTCTTTTGTATAGATGGATGTTGTTCACATACTATGCTGATCCCAACACGCGTCGTTGCTTTGCTCAGTTGTAACTTAGAGATGCTGCCTTCTTCAGAAAAAAACTATTGGTGCTGTTAGAGGTGGTTCCCTTGGAATCCTGGAATTCACCACTGACGCAGTCGCCGTGCTTCTTCGTCCATACAAGAGAGCTCTTCCGAGGCAAACAAGGCAGAAATCTTTCAGCATAGCAATGATGAAGAGCAGAGTTTGAATAAGAAATAATAAAGGCGATAACATCATTACCATTGCTTTTATTACTAATACTAGCGCACTCTATAAAACGGTAAGGGTAGCTAGTAGTGAGCAGAAACAGAAGCACAAAAGGCTCAGTTTAAAGAAATTTCGAGGAAACGCCTACTAACCTTGTAAACATTAGTGGACGAATAAGTCAATTATTTCTTAGAATGATTAAATGTTCGAAAATATAACTGGATACGGTATTCACTTATGTGTCAGTCACATCTGAGGCTAATAAATGACGAGCTTTTCTCCAGAATAATTCCCAGAACAACAAATAATTCACACCAGGTGTGAAGAAGGTCTTCTCATCCGCAACTGATTGAGGACAAGTTTTCAATAAGGCAAAGTTTTTGAATAGGAATTTCTCGCTTAAAAACGGGGTCAAATGTTTTCAAAGAAAGACCATGGCCTTTCTCTAGTAATGCATTTCTTTGTTCTCCTTAAAGAGCTTTGAGAAAGAATCTTGAAGACCTGTTCTCTGTCAACTGGAAACTTTTAAATGAGGAAAAGCTTTGAGGAAGGTGAAATCCGCCGCAACGTCACCTTGTGCGTAAATAAAGGAATAAAATAGCACCTCGTGTTTCCTAAACAGAAGTAGAAAGGCTTTTAGCCTTATGAGTCTAGTGCCTATTGAATATTTGTATTGTCCGTCATAACGAAGACTCCTACAGGTCCCAGTGCAACTTCATCAGAGTGGTAATTTACAGATGGTGCAAAATTCCTATTTCCTGGACACCTGAGGAAAACTTTATGAGATTTTAACAGGGTTACCACAGACAGATACCATCCCATTTACATGAAATGAGATTCGAAACGTTCTTGCTAGATTCAAACCAGGATGACAGTGATTGAACAACTGGCATTGGACCACTTTTGGCTGCGCTTGTGAATAGAAGAGCGTCCATTTCCTTTCTATATTGAGAGACATTTTAGGGATAAAGAGCCAGCTGTATTTCACAGCTCGTCTACGAGTACCATCCTCGCCTACGATAAATAGGTAAACTAAATGGGAGATTGAAAAAACCGCAGCGAATTCATGAAGATTTTCCTTTAATGCATTTCGCAATTCAAAACATCAGTGACAAAGAAATCTTTTGGTATAACTTCAATGGCGCTGAGACATTTGCAAAACTCTGGACCACAGGTGTATGCGGTGGGGAACGAACGCGCTATTGTCCTTTCCGGGGAGTAACGCATTCATTTCTTCAATTCTTTTGGTAGTTTCAGAAAGACGCCAAAACGTGCACCGCAGAACGAATGACAGAGCGTCTCATGTACATCGTGATATACAAACAAACCAAAGGTTGCATTTTATGGAAACGGTCAGAGTCAGCCACAGAAGCAGAGATGAGGACATTCTCGGAACAACATCGATTGTCCCCTTGAAACTAAACAATAATCTTCATATTCTTGTTAAGCAAACACGAAGTGTTATCTTATTCTTTATTACGGAAAAGCTGACGTTTCGGCAGATTTCGCCATCCTCAGAGCCTGTAAAAGTGAAGTTAACCGCAATCTACCTAGGCAAATACCTCCATAACCAAGCAAAGAAAATGCTAAACCAAGATTCCAATCACATGGGATACAGAATAACTCAAAAGACCTACTTTCTGCAAATGTCAACATAAATAACCGATGTATTTATTTATATGTTCTTATGAACTGATCTAGTTGAACTGATGCGAGTTTGGTATAGTTGTTGTTGCTTTTGTCGTTTGGGGCTAACTCGAAACAGCACGACTCTGAGAAAGGCGAAATCGCCGATCCATCAACCTTCGACCAACAATAACAACAATGACAACAACAACAGCAGCAGCAGCAACAACAACAACAACAACAACGACAACTGAACCAACCTCGAATCAACTTACCAACCTCAACAGGATCAGTTTATAAGAACATATAAATGAACACAGAATAGCTTCTTTGCACACTCACCGCTTTCTATAAGTCTTCCACTGAGTGCTTCACGTGGACAATTGCACGGAGTTCGGAGTTAATGTGCCATCACATTAAAATAACAGTCTTAAATACTACCCTATATGCCGCATAATTATGAGGCACTCCTTCCCACGGTTCATTTTCGGATTCTTAGAATGTATAGAGAATGCTTCGAGAGTCTTGCGTGCTGATGTTTCTTCTCTGTGATTGAAATTCTGGTTTAGTATTTTCTCCGTTTGGTTATGGAGGTGTGTCGCTAAGCAAATTTCGGTCAACTTGACCTTTCCAGCCTATGAGGAAGGCAAAATTTGGCGAAGCGTCAGCTTTCCCGTAGTAAAGAATAAAATAACACCTCGTGATTGCTCAACAGGAATATAATGAATTATTTGTGAATGCCAAGGTTAATGGAAAGCCGGTCATGTCAATTAATCAGTAGTATATTTATGAGCGAAGAAACGGATTAATTCTAAACAAGAGCAATTCTCTTTCAGGCTAAATGAAAATCACATTTTGGTTTCTTCGGCACGGGACAATGAGAAACCTGATTTTAAAAAAGCCGCCTTGCTGCAATATCGTACTGCCAAATTCAAAGACTTTTATCAAATTAGTGAACTTACAACTTTAAAATTTAAACAAACAGCTGGAAGGTTCTTTCCACAAGTGTTTTATCCGACGTAAATTTTTTGGCTATGTTCGTAGTGTATATTCGTAGTGTTCCACTTTTTAGGATTTTCATGCCTACCGTGTTTGCTCTTTATCAAGCATATGCTCTTAAATGAAAGTAATCTCATTCGAAACTGATGGCAATGAAGATATTCTTGATTAAAATGAGATTTAGCACAGCTGAGGGAAAGACAGACCAATGACATTGATTGATACGGTGTGGTGGGTAGCGCTTGAGATCCTGGTAAGGATAATCGCCGGTTCGAAGCTTAAAAGAGCTCAAGGGTTTTGTCCATATTTCAGCATACTTGTGGTTATATTCTTGGCTCATCTATTTTCATTCTGGCAAGAAAGCAGGAAAACCTATCTAGGTTTGCTAAATATTGAGAAGAGGAGTTTTTCGCGTCGATAATCAGGAATATTCGCGCTGTTTTGTGACCTCTCATCTTTCGACTATGATGTTCATTTTTCAGTCAGATGCTTCTTTAAGCTCGATCAGTTTTGCTCTACAGTACTCCGACGCACATTTCAAAGCATTGGATGTTAATGTAAGTTTTAAAAGAAAAGTGAAAATAAACTGACAACAATTCCACTCGTATCCGTCGACAGCAATTGTCAGAATCACCACAACATTCAAAATATGTGAAGTAGTCAGCCGGTGGACATTTTCTAAACAAAGAGATGGTATAGCTCATATGAAATGCTGAGATATTTGCAAAACTCCGGACCACAGGTGTATGCAATGGAGAACGAACGCGCGCTATTGTCCCTTCCGGGGAGGAGCGCACATCACCACCACATCATCCGGGTCCTTCGTTTTGCCTGTCTCTCAGCAGTAAATAAAAGGGTTAAGATTGTGATTATAACTAAGCCTCAGCTTAACTGGGTTCAATGCCGATATTGGCTCCCAAGATCAACCCCGTTGACGGGTGATTGCTGATAGCAAAAAAGATCGATAGAACTAGCTGAGATACACGCAAAGCGAAGGACCTGGATGGTGTAGTGGTGAAGTGCGCTGCTCCCCGGTAAGGACAACAGCGCGTGTTCGTTCTCCATTGCATACACTTGTGGTCCGGAGTTTTGCAAATATCTCAGAATTTCATACGAGTTATATTTCGCAACATAACCTGCCATTAAGAAGGAAAAGGCAGTAAATAAAAGAGTTAAGAAAGAGATGGTAGTTGTTGGCTACAATGGGTAACTGTCTTTTTAGAAACAGCAAGTTTTGGTATGACATTCTTCCTGGAAAATCTGTATGACAAACTCTACATCTGTGTGAGCCAGAAAAGAATACAGTGTTAATGATAGCCTTACAAAATCCATCTTTCGAAAACACGTAAGGATAACTGCTCGACATAGCTGAGTCAAAAATAAATAGGACATTTTAAAAAATGATGCCCTAAATCCATTGAGAACATGATTTATTTTCAGAAATTCATAAAATGAAAACTACTTCGCAGTGGAGTGGCGTGCGTGGCGCAGTGGTCGGAGACGCTCTGCAACACATAGAAGCAATCCCCGTGCCCGTGGCCCACCAAGCTTTCCATCCCTCCAGAGTTGGCAAATTGGTACGAGATTTGCCTGAGAGGATAGAGCACTGGCTCAACACATCGTTAGGCCACCGCGAGTCATTGTAAAGGCCAGCCATGCGTTTAGTCACCTCCAAACGATGTTTAATGAAGTCGAATGAATGGTGTATCCCTCAGAGATTGATCAACGCCGAAAGCTTTTCTCACGCAGTAGTGTCCAATATGTCGACTTGTTAAGGAGCAAATAGGTCAGAATTGAAAACTATTCAAACCGTAAATGGCTTAAACGACATTAAAATTACAACACATGAGTAAGCCTAACTATACAGCAGGAAGTATAAGTGCTCGGAAGTTTTCATTATGTGTAGGATTTCGAAACATGTGAAAGTCTAAGAAGAACAATGAAACATCAGACCTTGGCGCTGGTCGTGGTGTTTCGAAATACCAGTTCTTGTAGCAGACGACATCTTCGTAGTCGAACAAATCGACGACTTCAACTAGAAGACCAAGTAAAGCTAAGATGTACGCATGCATTTCGTCGTTGTGTGTGATTTTGGGTGCTTGTTGTAATCGGAACGCGCCTTGTGTAAACAACGACGAGTTTGTCCAGAATCGTCGTGTCGTCGTGTCGTCGTCTGCGTCGTGTTCGTCGATGAACAAGCGGACGCACAGACGTCGTCGTGACTCATCTTCAGATTCTACAAAGAGCAGAAAACGACAGCTCATTAGAGAAGATCCACGATTCGTCGAACATCAGCACGTAGCTAAGTTATCCAGAATCGTCGAGGCATTCAAATGATCTAGTGACGACGAATCGAGACACGTTCTAGTGGTACCATTCAGATGATTCTATCCTTCGCTTTTTTCTTCTAATGCGGTGGCATTTTGTATTCTCAGTCATACCGTTGTTTCTAGCTAACACTCCGCGCTAAAACATCAACTCGTGCTCATAACGTTAACTTTTCATTTAGTGCCTATTAAAATTTTTCACGGAAGGGTATTATGTGTGTTACAACCACAATGGTGTTGAGACATTTTCAAAACTCCAGACCGCAGGTGTTTGCGGTGGGAAACGAACGCGTTGCTACCCTTTCCGGGGAGTAACGCATTCACCACCATGCCGCAGACACCTGCTATCCTGAGTTTTGCAGATAACTCACCACCATTGTGGTTGTATCACACATAATACCCTATCGTGAAAAATTGTAATAGGCAGTAAGTAAAGAAGTTACCAATATGATTTCGCCTATATCCTCACCTTAACAGGGTTCAATGCCGGCTTAGGCTCCCCAGATCAATCCCGCTGACAGGTGATTGCTAATAGCACTGGTATATAGAAAACTAGCAGAGAGAAAGGAGAAAAGAAGGATACGAATGGTGTGGTAGTGAAGGCGTTAACCTCCGAATAGGTTAATAGCGCGTTCTTTCCTCACCATAGACGCCTGCTGGCCAGAGTGTTTTGCAAATGTCACCGCACCACCGTGGTCATAAAGTCTTATTTCCAACCTAGAACATTTTCAAATACTTGAAATTACTCACTTGGATACTTGAATGGGCCGACTTTATTGATCACATGAGTTCCAGCATAATTTCCACTTTTTCCGAGTTTTTTGTTTTAGCCATTGTAGTTTTCTGGAGCCTCAAGGTCGGCCTAACCACAGTCTACTCCATGTCGTCACCATTACAGGAAATCGCTGCCCTTACGGATCAGAGACAGAGTTGCCACCATGTGGCTATTTTGATACTGAGGCGGTGGTGGATCCCCATACTGGTTTTTGCTTAAACGAGGTAATCGGAAGAAATATCGTGGAATTACTGTCATACAGGTTGCTAATGTGTCGGATTGAAGCATTATGTTGTGTACATTCTGTGATGCTGAGTTTGCTTCGGTAAACGTGTCTAGTTAAACAACGTTTTTTTTGCAACTTTAAGTACCCTCCTAACGGTTTACCGCTTCATCGTGGCCGGTAGGTGTTCCTGGATGTTGGGACACGATGTACAGCGGCGCGATTCTCCATTCCAGCAGGGTCTCCAAAGTTGATAAGGAGTCCGGCGCTTCCATTAGGAAGTTCAACTAAAAAAAAAGATTTCGTAGAGCTGGCGAATCACCTTCTCTGGAAGGCCTCCTAAATTGAGAAAGCGTTCGACATTTGAATCCAGACTCTGAATCAGTGAGCTCCAGAAATCAGCGCCATCTTGACTAAAACATCATATTACTAGAAAGATTTTGATGTGGAAAACCACACCTAGGATTTCAAAACCCCAAAGGGAGAAAATCTTTCCCAAACAGTAAATTTTCGGCCGATAGCATGTTGCAATGGGAATCACTCAAATTTTCGTCAACCTGCAAAAAAGACCTCCAATTTTACAAGTAAACAAAGTACTTTTTCGTTTGTTTTTACATGAAGCTTCTTCACGTTTACTATACGGATCCCAACACTTCTCACATTCGATTCCTTCCATCGCATCCATTTTCGACGAAGGCCTTTCAACTTCTTAACAAGTGGCTTCGGCTGCTGCTTGAGCTCTTTCATTTCACAGAATCGTGGCCGGGTCGATTTTCCCTGGAGTCCTAAGATAGCCGGGCTAAAGCGTTACCACTTAGATTATAGAGAGTGGACTTTTCCGAGACAAATCTTGTACGAATTTCGCGACCCTAGAATAATGATAGACTTGGTGTCTAGGAAGGGATTGAACCAGCAGCATGCTCGTGATTACCGGCATCACTGCCACTGTGCTATCGATTTCCGTAACCAATTCGCACTCTATAGTGTAGATCACTTCCGAAATTATGAAAAATAAAATAGAGGGAGTTTACCTGCAGGTATAGGGTATATTAAAAAGACCATAGAGACCGAGGCCACTTTCATGATTAAAATGGTCCATGCAAACACCCGCCATATCGCCTTGAAACTTGGATCTAACCAGATTTAAACGAAAATTAGTGGAGCTCTCACTTGGCCAAGGAAACTATACCACACCATTTACTCCTAATGACGCACCTATGATTTTTGAAATTTAGCAAAACTTTTGCCCTCGCAAGTCAACCCTTTCAGTGGCTATTCTTGAATACTAACGGCTACGCTGCGTTCCGAATGGTAGTGAATATTCTCACAAAGAAAAAAGTGGATTCCAAAATCGTAGCATGACAATTCTTTTGTTTTCGTAAATGATAAGAACAGCCCCTAGTGGTGTGTTATCCTAAAAGTTTCAATCTTGTATTTGCAATGAATAACAGGATCCTCTTAATGAAAACTAGCTGCTCAACGTCGTTTTTACAAGGTATAGATTGAAAGGACTCATTAGAAATTCTATGTTTAAAATTTCTGAAGGAATGGTATGGTCCTGAAAACCTTTGCCCACGACTTTTCTGCTGCCAAAGTCAGTGCTCGTTGTAGCACATCTTAGATCGGCAACTAATTCCGAATTCATTAGCAAGAGCATGGACAATATAGTGTCCATACGTAGCGGAGCAATGGACGATATAGAGCTTATTTTCAGTTCGATTGGCTCTAGGGATTTTTTTTACCCTATTATGTACATTCATTTAGTAGCTAATTGTAAGCAGATTAAAATTGTAGAAGGGGCACCAGATAGAATGTTGCCCACACTTAATGATTTAGAAAAAGCCTTTTAATGAAAACTTCATTGGCCTTTAGTTTGACTAAAAACTTACTACTACTTCATTTTAATCACCATGGTCAGTGCATGAAACATGCGGATACAAAAAACACCGAAGGGGCGCACAGCATTGTGGTAGTTATGTCCGTCGTCGTGAGCGTGGTGCTAGTTCGATTTCACTCCGGGCCAACCAAGTCTCTCATCCCTCCGGGGACGAGAGATTGTTATAGGAAGCGTCTAGGAAAAAATCACTCTCTGCAATCCACTTGGGAACGCTCCAACCCGGCTATCTCATGAGTCCACGGAGAATTGGTTGACCAGCATCTCACGACATTCAAGAAGAAATGAATATCCTCAAGCAGCAACGGAAGCCACACGTAAACGTTGGAAGATTTTTGTGGACAATGGTTGAGAGAAAACGAATTGGATGTGAGAAGTGCCGGGATCTTCATAGTAGACATGAATATGGGTAGTATAAAACAATAAAGAAACTAAAAAAATACCGAGTTAGACTCCGCATAGAGTGCTAATCACTTCCAAGTGCTGACTGCAATATATTGGCATAATTGTCCATATTACCATGAAGCAAATAGTAGCACACATATCATTGACACCCATCGAACGATAGAGCAAAGTCATTTCTATTCTGCCATGAAAACTGCTTTTGATTTTTAAAAAACCAGAAGGTCTGCATCGGATCGAAAATTGTTCTTGTGCCATTAACCAGCCACAACAAAGGGGTTGTGCTAACAGCCGCGATGCCGCCGTTTTCGACTTGGGATTTCCAACTGAGCCGAAGGGAAGTCAAATATTTATTTTTTTAAATTTTTTTCTCCATAAGTCGTTGATAACGTTATATATTACTCAATCTCATATTTGGCATTGTTAACTCATATTAGAAAGATGAACGAAAATCGTCTATTTAATCAACCACAAGCAAAATATACGGCAGTGTTCACAGCTCTATATATAGATATAGTTCTTAACCAAGAGTATAAAAATACATATATAACCCGAGGGTTTAAGTTATAAACAGCAATATACGAAATTTTATCACTTATCATGGTCATTCTCATTTATCACATTCTCTTTCCTTCTCTCTTCGTCGTTTACTCCAATTCCTATTTCCTCTTTCATTTTCTCCTATCAGTTTTCATATAGGATAGAGGATAGAACAATATAGGATATTCCAGATACGCAGTACCTGGCCAAATGGCAAAAAGAACTCACAAAATGCCTCTGATAATCGATAATTGATACAAAAAAAGAGATATGAAAACTATGGAAAGGATGCATCGTATCATTAATAGACTGTCGTTCGTCCGTTTCCTTCGTGTTTTATCTTCAAATTATCGCACGCATCATAGTCTACTGGCGGTGTGTCCGGTCGAGAAACCTACGATATCAAATATTTAAAGTAGTGCGCATAATCATTCCTTTCAACAACTAAGTTTAGAGTATGTTGAAGAGATTAAGTATCCTGTTCGTCATTTTTACTCAACGACGTGAAGACACCTGGTGTACCAAACCAACGTTTTTATTCTACCAGCAAAGTCTAGTAGCAATTTGCCCACACTGGGTGGATTTCGAGCTCGTTTCGCCTGAGGCTCAAAATCGAATCACTGCCGTTGTATGTACTGCAGTAGGGCATCTTTAACCGCTGCACAAACCCTCAATTCCGCTGATACAGTTTGTTTTAGAGTTTACTTCCACGATGATGACATACCGGAAAATTAAAGAAAATCTACGCTTTTTCCCATTATATGCAGACAAATAGGTGCGATTTTAATTGAGTGACTGCACCTTAACATATGAAAGAACTGGAGAATCCCAACTCTTCTTTCGTCTTTTGAAGATCAACTGCCAATTTTTGTAAGTGCAACTCCGTCTAACCACGACGAATAGGTGTTCGTGGGTTGCGAACTGCTAGGTACAGCGGTTGTTTGCGACTCTTTAAAATTCGTGACCCACAGGAGACAGTGATAATTAATGGTGCAGTTAGGTATATTCAACCTAGAACAGCAAAAAAGCTGCGTACTTGACCATTCAAACATCAGTTGAAAGGAAACTGCTATGTATCCAATATCTTGTTAAAGCTTGGACCATCAAAGTCCCAGGTATAACAAATAAAAGATAAAGCATGGGGTGTTGATCAATCCTTAACGAATGTGCCATGCATTCGATTTCAACGAGAAGTTAATGAATGCAATGCATATGTGGCTTCCACAATGACTTTCGTCGCCTACCGATGTGTCAAGTTAGTTTCTCCTTCACACAAGTTTAGTTCCAATTCGACGGCGGCGACGGAATGCTGGAGGGCTTAGTTTACTCTAAACATTGGTCGAAACAGGGGACTGCATGTCTATTGCCATCTCTAACCATTCAGCTACAATCGCGGTCAAAATACCAAATATAAAGAATAATTTCAATCGTATTATGCGATATCTCACATTTGCCTCCACTGTTTGGGTCACAATTTCTGGACTACCGTTTCTGTTGAGTGTCGTGTTATTCGTCTCCTTTGCCGCACTTGCCCTGAACATTGGACTTTCAATAAAAAATGAAAATTGATTTCAATCAGCTTCACACTGAACAGAGCAACGAAAAACACCGTAATCACATACTTTAATGTTCCCCCGAACGCTTTTTCATTCATATGGGGCTTCCTGTAGATTCCAGCCTCGTACTGCTCCCATACTGATGAATTCTCTTGTCGTGCGGAATTTAAACTGCTTCCATCCTTGAAAATGTATTTTTTATTCATCTATTGAGCGTAACAAACATATACGAATTTCTGTCAAACTTTCTGAAGACAACTTTTCATCCAAGGAACAAATTTTTCGAAGTACCTTGCTCGATTTTTTTATCGTTCGAAAATACGGCTTATAGTACGACATCCAGTGCATCATCATCATAATTAAAGGATAAAAAAGGATAAAGCTCTCTTCGCCATGCATTCGACTTCATTAAGTATCGTTAGAGATGATTGAATGCATATCTCGCCTTTACGATGACTCGCGGTGGCCTACTGTATATGTATCGAGCCAGTGTTGTTATCCTACCAGACAAGTCTGGTACCAATCTGCTGACCCCAGAGGGATTGAAGGCTCGGTAAGCCATGGGCGCGAGGATCGATACCACGTGTGTGTCGCAGTGACGCCTCCAACCACTGCGCCACACGCGCCCGATCAACATAATTAGGAATGATATTATTCCTCGACTTGCATTAAGGACATATCCACTTAGTCCTTTTTGTCATTACTGAAAACTTAAATAAACTTTTGGGTTCTCTCTTACCTTCTTTGTCTTCCTTCTGCAGGTGTCGTAATAAGACTCATAGTGATCGCTTGTGTAATTTGCTGGTTGATACGAAGCTTCCGGGGGTCCCATATGGGATCCTGGCATGTAGACCGGTTCTTCGTAAGCCGCTCGTCTAGGAATCGTGCCATAGATGGACTCCGGACTGGTGACAATTGGTCCTTCGCCGGGACTTGACGGACGGAAAGGTGATCCCATGAAATGAGGTGGTGGCGGAGGCATGAAAAAGCCTCTAGGGGCAAACATTGGCGGTGGCATCATGTGTGGAAACATGTGCGGAGGTGGTGGTGGCATTCTAACTCCTGGTGGTAACCTCATCGGTGGTGGCATCATTTGAGGTGGAGGCGGAGGTGGAGGATATGGTCCCCGAAAAAAGTGTGGGTGTGGAGGAGGTGGATATGGCATCATTGGATGTGGCGGTGGCATTGGCATAAATGAAGCACGCATATACGGACCAAGATGTGGAGGTGGCATCATTCCAAAAAAGTGTCCTCGAGGATGATTATCGGAATAGGATAAGTCGGCTTCAGAACCTGCACGTCGAGGTTGCTCCGAGAAAGGAACGAGAGCTGAGCGAATTACTCCTAAAAGAAAAAATCTCAAGATTGTCTTTTAAGCGATCGATTTAATATTGAAGTCAGAGCACGTTTAATTGCGGTTACAATTTCCGGTAGATTTTCATCTAGTTTATTTTCTAAGTCTGTCCACATAATTTCAAGAAATGCAGTACACCTGTTTTGCTCATACCATTTTTTCCTCTAAGTGCGATTGTACGGTCATTGCTAGCCATTAAACTGAGTGCTCCTTCGGTGTGACACATTTCTTTAGATTCATTCTATCGTATTATACTCGATTTACACAGATTGCTGAGTAACCAAATACGATGATGAGAATTCGACAAGACTACCTGTAGCATAAAAACTTATTTACGTTTGGCTTCTTTGCTCACTATCATCAGACAAGTCAATGGGTCGGGATAATAAAATTTCTATCAAATGCCAGCCTCGTCAACATCGCTAGTGGGTCAGTCTTGAGACGAGGACTTCGGAAATCATTATTTAGCTTATTGTGACGTTTTCTATGTACTAATCGATAAGGGGGAATCGACTGATTATTTTTAACATCGTCAAGTGTGTTGTATTCGCTACTGCAGTGTTCTTCTTCCTCTGTTCTCCTACCTACTAGAAACATTAAAGTCGCTAATTCATTCAACTTTCTTCGTAAAAACCCGGCCTTAGAGAATTCAATTCGATTGCTGGCCTAAGCAACGAAATCCATTCGATTGCGGGTCGCCGAATTTCGCTTTTTTCCAGTTTTGACCTCGTTTTAGACGATGAGCGTAATACGTTCCTTCTCCTTCGTCGTCAATCAAATCGCATCGTCGTTCACTCGTTCTAATGTTGTTCGCCAAGCTTATCCGATCCACGAATCACAGACAACACACATGTGCGTAAATACACACATACGCGGACATACACACTCAAAATGTACATACACACGCACGCACAACAAACACATGCACACAAGCATTCATACACACACGCATAGACAGACAACACACATACACACCAACAAATGTATACACACACAGCACACACAAAACACGCATACACAGACGAATACACACACAACACACACATACAAACACACACATACACGCAAACACAGATACACACAAATACACGCATACACACAAACACATGCATATACCCACAACACACACAAACACACGCATACACAGACGCATTCACACACAAGCACAACACACACACACACAACACAAACGTACAGATACACACAAACACACACAACACACACATACATACAAACAGACAAATACACACAAACGTATGCATACACACACAACACTCGCACATATATAGTTTTTTTCCGTCAACACGAAATTCACAAACATTCCCGAATATTCGATGCTACATTTACCGCTCTGAAGGTGCATAATGTGGTTGGTCACTTTCACAACTGCGTTCCCCTTGGGACTATCGCCTTATCGAACTGGTTCCGACGAGTGGCTCGTATAAGGGCCATCGCACTCGCACCCTAGATGTTGTCAGCATTTGGGACCTTGACCGAGACCCGATATCAGCTGATTGTATAACCATCGCGATGGATCTGTCATCATGTGCAGCGTTTGTTAGTTGGTTACTACCTTATATAGACCCAATGGAAAAAGATAATTTGGTCCAACAACCGAAGTGAAATAGTTCAGAATGACTTCGATAGATGATCAAACTAAATGCACCGCTAAGTTGAAATCCTTTTCCGCGTCATTATAAACGAGATAATCTCCGATAAAATACAGTCCAACGACGATAACCGTCACCGATTTCTTCGTTTATCAAATGGGTATGTTAAAGCTAAAGTTACGCGATGCCACTTTTATTAAAAAGGAATCCAGATTGTTCTCTACAGTTTGTCGATTAGAAAGATTTATGCTGTGATCATACCTTCGATGAAAAACTCTTCTAACAAAGTAAATGGGAAAAACTGAAAGACGGGCTCGCGCTGGAGTCTTCCACTATTTATTGGTCAGCACCTCTACTAAGGCAGAACTTGGTAAGCTAACCATTACTAGAGCCAGCACCATTTCAGAGATCAGCACCACTCGATCCACCAGAAGAGTAGAAATGTATGGTCCCACATAAAAATGATGAATGTATTCTTCGAGCTAGAAGAGTTCAATGGGCATCTTTCAAAGGAAGGAGCGAAGTTTTCACCGAAACCTCTCAAATTAACAAAATTTCAGGTGATGAGGGTCACATTCCCTCTATATTGCATACTATTTTAGACTTCTCCGGACTTAGAAAAACAGACTTTTTCTACTTCCTGCCTTAGTCATTACCTTTTCCTGTCCTCGAACGTCCACAAAAGGAGGTTACTTCATTATAAAATCCTTAGACAGAAAGTGAAAATAAGAAATCTAGGAAATGTCGTCACTTAATTGCCAGGCAAAAATACGGAGCAGCTCACAATCCACTGAACTGAAGGTGCTGCGATGAAATAAGGCATATCATCTTTGCATAAATCATCTTAGCTTTTGCCACAAAAAATTCCCTTTTGCTTGACACCTATTCATGTATTAGGTAATGTAACAAACTTCTCACTTTCTTCTCCCTTCTCTTTTTCTTTTCTTTCATTCTTATCCTCATCTTGACGATAACCTAGTGCTTCCAGGTATAACGACTAAGAGTATAACCTACTTTGCTTTTCTCGAGCTAAATGACTTTTATTTTGTAATTTTTATAGTCCCAAATACATATACATCAGATGTTATACCTCATACTTTTTCGTATTAAACGTATACAAATCCACCTGTCTCGCTGGCTGCTCGTTTTCCACCACGAACTAAACTGCTGCTGATGCTCACACTGTCGTATTCGCCATCTTGTTGACGTCGTTCCCATCCCTAAAACGAATACACTGAAGAAAATCCCAATCAATCGATCGTTCGGACTTCAACTAGTTGCATGGAATGAATCATTAGGAACCATACGAATCCAATAATCTAATAAATTCGAACAATCGAACGATCGAAGCGCATAGTAAAGGGCGCTATAGGTGACATACGATACACAGAGGGTCGTTGGATCGACCCAACGCTCGAGTTTAACCAAGTCGTCCACTTTTTCGGTGTGGGAAAATTGCTATCAATGTTGTCTGCGAGAAAACAACACTAATTTTAAACATTGGTAGATCATTGCAATTTATTCTAGAAGGCAAAAATACATATATATTACATATTCGTTAAATATTCCAGTCAAAATTCGGAGTCAGGATTCGCCTTCTACATCGTCCTTGAGCGGTCGGTTACTCTTACATTCCTCCTTTCACTTCTGACTTCGGTTTTACCAGCTCTCCGAATCAACTAGTAGGAAGACCGGACAAAGGATTCATCGCCGAAAATACACCTCCCTCTGATCCAAATCGTGGTGAAGACCTGGATACGCCCTTGCAAGATTACGTCAGGACTCCAGGGAGGACCAAGTTGCACGACCAGCAATAAGCCAGCCTCATTACACCGCACACTGGATGTTCCCGTCTATAACGTCAGGCGCTGAGACGACCTGTGAGAGGTCAGAAAATCTCGGGTTATGCAGGACGTCATTGGAACCGGATCTGATGGGCACACGCACGACACGCCATGGAGATTATTTCTTACTATGCACGTTTAATGCCAGAACACTCTCCACAGACGCCGATTTTCACGCCCTTCTTGTAGCCGCAGATCGCATTAACTTTCATGTGATCGAATTGTAAGAAACAAAAATCAAGAAGACCGACATACGCCAACTAAACAACGGGACCCTTGTGATTCGTGAAAAAAGATCCCGTCACGAAATGTCGGTGGCGTAGGCTTTGTCGTCCACCCGTCCATTGTCCATCTCGTCGACTCATACCTGATCCTTTCCCCTCGCATAGCCGACCTCCGTTTTCAATAGTCGCATCATAAGAAGATCACTATCATCAACTGCTGCTAACCGACCGACGCAGCTGATGAGTACGAATTAAATGCGTTCTACTATCAGTTGGAGGAAGCCATCCGCAATGATAAAGCATATCATAAAGTTGTTGTTGGAGGCTTCAACGCCAGAATAGGAAAGGCCGACAAGAGCGAATACGGGATCGGAAATTTTGGATTTGGAGAAAGAAATGAGAATAAGAACCGTCTCGCAGGACTCCTGTCCGCAGTACGTCTCTTCCATGGAAACTTGTTTTCCAGAAGAAAGAAAGCCGCCGCTGGACATGGGAGTCTCCCAACGGTATGACTCATGCAGAGATCGACCATATTCTGACAAACAGGAGATGATGCCTACTTGACACGTAGTCCCGATATTTTGTACTGGTTTCGATCATCACCTTTTTCGGGCGAAGATTTGATCAGCCGCAAGCTGGAAAAGAACTCTCTTCATCGACCACGAGGAAAAAGTCTAGCTGTATACGACGAGAAAATTCTGAACGAAGTCCTGCCCAAACGTGACCGACAGATTAAAGAAGACCCGACGGAAGACTACGAGCTGCTTGTCGAAGGACTGGAAAGCTGTGCCGAATTCGCCTCAGTTCTTCAAACAAGAAGATCGGATCGCATCTCCATCACTACTAAAGAGTTGCTCGAAAAGAGAAGGAAACTGAAGCTTGATCCTACTGCAACACGTTTTAACATAACTAGCAATAAATACCAGCTGCAGAAGAGCTTTGCAGGAACATCTACAACGGTACAAACAGAGAAAAATACTGGAAGCAGCAGAGAAAAGAAGCAGTCTGAAAAAATGCCGCTGGGACTTGTGTGAATATAATGTTCCGCTGTTGGCCATGATGAACGAAGATGGGATCGCCAAAACTTCCTGCCATGATATGGAGTAAATAGCGGAAACGTTCTACACCAACCTCTTCCGTTTCACAATCCCATCCCGGACACTAATATCCCCGCTGGAGAAAAACCACCTGGAATTCTTCCGTCGGAGGTCCGAGTTGCGATAGAAAGCATGAAAAGAGGCACAGCTCCAGGACCCGATAATATTACCACGGACTTCCCTAGAGCTGGAATCCACAATTTACATGTACTTCTCGCAGATCATATCACAGGCTACCTTCAAAAGGAAAAAATCCCAGACCAGTAGAGGACGTCGCGTACGGTCATCCCGCCCAAGAAAGGAGACCGAAGGCATCTTCGTAACCATCGTCCCATATGTTTGTTAAGTGGACTCTACAAACTCTTTACGAAAATTATCCTCTCGCACATATCAAGGACATTGGATGAGGCGCAACCAGTCGAGTGGGCAGGATTTCGAAAAGGATTTTGCTGCATGGACCACATCCAAACCGTGTCCAGGGTCATCGAATTTTGTCGGGAATACCACTTGCTTCTAGTTCTGACCTTTGTCGACTATGAGAAAGCGTTTGACAGTGTCGAAACGAATGCAATCCTATCAGCGCTCGTCGACCAAAGAGTGGACCCGTCTTATATAAGAACTCTCTTCGAGTGTTGTCGGAACTGCACTACGAAAATACAGCTTTTCCATTGATCTCTTACAATACCCATAGGAAAAGGGGTTCGCCAGGATGATACAATATCGCCAAAGCTGTTCAGTGCCACACTGCAGTGGATAATGAAGTCACTCGATTGGGATGAAAAAGGCATACATATTGATGGAAAATTCCTATCAAACTTTCGTTTTGCCGACGATATTGTCACCTTCTCAAAAAGTACTAGCGAAGCAGAGGTGACGATCAACGAGCTCAACGAAGCGGAGAAAAAGATCGGACTTCGCATAAATCGAAAGAAGACCCAGTTCATGAAAAATCCATGGTGCGAAAGCGAATGGCTTGGAACGAATTGGATGGCTGTAATTGCAGAGATCACCTCGTACGTTTACCTTGGGCGATCAGTGAACATGGAAAACAACATGAAGGAGGAGCTAGATAGATGAAGGAGAACCGCTTGGGCAGCATTCGGGCCTCTCAAAGAGACCACCGACCAACTTAAGAACCCAAAAATTCGCGCTCATCTCTTTGATTCTACGGTTCTCCCAGCGCTCTGTTATGCTGCAGAGACGTGAGTTGATACTTCAACTACATTAATAATGCTTCGAACTACTCACAGAACGCTTGAGCAATGTCTTCTGAAATATAACCAGCACTCTCAATATGTAGCCGGAATGCGAAGCTCTGACCTTCGAAATCTGTCACATCTTCGAGATCCAGGAGAATATACATGGACAGCGGAACATAGATGGGCCGGTTACATAATGAGAAGTACAGACGACAGATGGACGAAAAGAACAGTAGAGTGGACTCCAAGAGAATGCAAATGTCCCCTTGGACGACCACCTACACGTTGAGCGGATGTGTTCGTAAACAAAGTTAATCAGCTGTACCCGCGGCTGCGGTTGACAGGTCACGGCATGAGACTCGCAAGCGCTATCATGCTCGAACAAGACCACCACCATGGACTACGATTGCGACAGAAAGGAACGAATGGTATATGTGCTGGGATCCGCACAGCTCGTGAAGACGGACCGTCCAAGTATCCAAGTAAGTAAGTAAATATTCTTACGATACTTAACGGAGTCGAATACATAAGGCATTCCCAGAGGAATTACTGACTCTGAACGCTTTAGTACTTTCGTGACGATTCAGGTTTTTCGGTAACTGACGACAATTTCTGAACCAAAAGAGCATTTCAGAAGTTCAGTATGAGATTTTGCTCTAACGGATTAATCGAATTTAAAAATGCTTAGAACCAAAACTACCAAGAAAAGATGACAGCGAAATTTGGGTTTCTCAAAAAATCAATGGAAGAGAGTCAGTTAAAAACATATGCGATACATTGGAGAACACCACCCTGTCCTGTTGGACAAGGTTTCTGCTGTTCATTTACCTTCGTGTTCGAAATATGAGCTTTGAATCAATAAAAAGGAAGGAATATGTGTCATGGGCGCCAGAAAACGAAAATTTCATTGTGGTAAAACAAGATAACTTTTACCCTTTAAGGTAAATATTCGTAAATTTTAACAGTTCTTGGAACAGTGACAATTCTGAGAACAAAAATCAAACAATAAAATAAAAATTCGGATAAGCTACAAGTTTAGTAGTAGAAGAGTGCAGATCTTCTGCTCAGTAAAAAAAAGCTTGGCGCGTGTGGCGCTTTGGTCAGGGGCGCCCTGCAATACACATATGGGATCGGTCCCCGCACGCGTGGCTCACTAAGCCTTCCATCCCTCCGGAATGGGTAAATTGGTAGCAGACTTGTCTGGGAGGAAAGCAGAACTGGCTCGATACATCGGTAGGCCACCGCGAATCATTGTGAAGGGCAGATATGCATTCAATCGCCTCCAACGACGCTTAATGAAGTCTAATCCATATTGCATCCCTCAGGGATTGATCAACGCCGAGACCTTTGGAGCTTTACCAGTTCTTATTCCGTCTGATAAAATTCACTATGAGTTTAGATGACATGAAGTTCAAGACGGTCACCATTTTCGCATCGCCTGACTCCCATAGAGGTCACGTCTTCCTTTTAACGGTCACCTACCTTCGGAGCACGATCGATATGATCTTCTCCACTATCCGAATGATTAGCTTCACTTTGTGGACTAGTTGGCGATCGTTCACCAGTTGATCCTTCCTAAAATCAGAACATTTCATTCACACCAGTCAACTCGTAGTATGGCTAGCCCACCTTAATGGCCTTCAATCCAGGCATTTTTTCATCCATTTTTAGATAAATCGAATCTGCATAAGCGTGGAAACAGCAACGAACAAGAGCGTTCGCTGCTTTATTGTTCGTACAAATGAAACCGTGACATTCCAGCACCTAAATCGTGATCAAAATCTAAGAGGTTTCAATTGGAGCCATAGATTTGACCAGTATGTCGCGTGCTGTGGTGCTAACAATCGTGACGATGAATATATCCCTTTTTGTACTGGGAAAAGTGCTAGCCATTTTAAAGCCACCCATAATCACTTCACGTACATGGTTCGTTTGCTCTGCATGGTTGGTCGACGACAGGCAATCTTTATCAAACGCTTGTCGTCGTCGTTTTTCTAAGAAAAAAAACTCTTCCTTTGAAACTTATCATCAATCAAAGTCGCGCCCAGCAGCGTTAAGAAATCGTTCTTGTTTTTTTTCCCAATTGATAAGTCATAGATCTTCATGCAAATCTTCTCCAGATAAGTGATAACTCCAAAAATAAATCGACAACGACTTCTCTGCCGTATTCGACCAGTTTTCGTTTCCCTTCGTTGACAATGAATACAATGTATTAAATGAATGAACTGAATTGCCACTTGAACTGATGACGAAACACTCGCACACCCAAAATTCCATCACACTGAAGGATCATTTGGTTTTCTTCCTTTGTGTGTGTGTTGTGTTTGTCTTATTTCCATGGAAAGTTACTAGCAAGGTCCAATATATTCGGGATATGTGTTAGTTCTGGATAAGTTTGGTGTCGTTTTTGGCAAACAGTGCAATTAACTAAGAAAAACTGCTGGTCGTTTGACCAGATTCCAGTAAAGGGGCTCTTAAGTTTCGGCTGTTTTCGACAAGTTCAATCGCAGTAGCACAAGACTAGCGGCCAATTGGAAGTGTATATACAATATCACATGTTGTCACCCATAGTGCAAGAGAATGGGAAAAACACTAGTCTCTAAAAAAATCGAATCGGTGACATCCGCTCAGATCCCATCTCACCTTTATTCCTGTGGTTCGTCTCATGATGGCGGCGAATATCGGTGGATGTGGTGAGTCGGGAATGTTGGCGAATGGTGAATCAAGCGGCAAAAATCGCTCACCACCACCTGAAATCACCATTGGTGTTGCTTTGTTCTCAAGGAATGTGAGGAAAATTGTGAACGTTCACCTTCAATAGCATATCCAGTAACGTTCACGTATCTGACGGCGGCGCAATAGTGCAATGTATTTATGGGAAAAAAAGCCGTCTCGCTTTTTTTGTCCCCTTCGATATATTCCAGTAGAATGCCGTTCGACCATACCGATAACCTAGAAGTAGACATTGATCACGATCACGAACGCAACACTGGTTTTATGACAGAGAGCTTACCATGAGTCAATACCGCGAGTTTCCGGGGTGTCCTCAACTGGATAACGTTCACGAAGCGGCTGTTGTATACCTTGTAGACCGTCCTTGGTGATTGTTGGTACAGAAGAACCTATGTACAGCACCCGGCACCGACAAAGCGGTAGCACCATCTGAAGGTTGTGTCCAGTTAGAAATGCACTCAGCTTAACTCAACGAAGCCAGAGAAGGTGAGTGAAATGACTGAGGACGTAAAACGATGGCTAAAACACTCAAAACACGCCACGATTATGGTATTCCTTTCTGACGAGACATTAAATGGAAGTAGAAGACATTGAGGTGGTTTCGTTTCCGTACACAAGGAAATCGGCGTCGCGCCAAGATCGTTCGACCAGATTAACCAGAGATTGGTTTAAGAAGGATACTTAGAATTATAATGAGAAGTCACTAACTTGTGACCTCATCACAGTTTGCTCAACGTTGCTGACAGAGGTTGTAGAATCGGAGATCGGCTGGATAATATGTACAAGCGTATTCATAAACATGAGCACATCCCCTTTGCAAAGCATTTTTTAAGGAGTATGAGCCATTATTCCGAAGGAAAAGAATGCCTTATGACCATAACAGGTTCTATTTCTACATCGAAACAAATCCCTTTTGTCATGGGGGAAAAGTTCTTGTTCTCCAGTACGGTATTATTGTAAGTAAGGAAGAGGCTACACATCGCGTTCATAAAGAACAATGCAAAAGTATACTGCTGTTTCTTGAAGGTATATATTTCATGACGAAAATAAGACCATATTGGTGCTGGGTATAGGCATTACATCATGAAACTGGGTTCATATGGGTATTGGACCTATTAAGGGATGAAGGATAAAGCGTTCCGCGCTGATCATCGGGTAAGCGTCATGCATTCGATTCCATTCTTAGTATAATAGTGGTGATTAAATACATGATTTGTCTCACGGAATGATTTCCCGAGGCCTGTCGATAAATTCAGTCAGGGTTTTTCATCCTCCAGATAAGTCTGGTAACATTTCACGAACCGCGGACAGAAACGCAGAGTTCTAATCATTACACTATAAGAGGCCATCGAGCCTGTCATTTTAATATTTGGATAGGCCACCTTCATGAGTAGTGCATACAGCACATGTTCCATTCTTCTCTTCCTCGTACAATCGTCTTCCATGGTGGGTTTTGCTTCGAACATAGCGACGAAAGTGAGATCTTGTTATTGGGCCTACTAGTATCAGCAATTCGTTTAAAATATTAACAATAATAATAATGATGACGTCAGTTATAAGCTCTGTCCTGAGTGACTCAAGGTTAGCCTACATTATTTATTCAACCTCAAAGGTTTCGTTCGACATCGTCTACTTCGGGGTCTGAGCAGATTAAGCTGCCCTCACTAAGACCACTCATCATAACGGTGAAAATAAAACTGAAACAGCCACTAATGTTTAAATCACTTCTTATAAAACATAGAAACTCATCCACCAGGTCGCATCTATAACGAAGTGACCTATGTCGTGATGTTCTCCTAGAATCGAGTAGTCCGTGCTCAACTTGTGTTTAATACTAGGGTTGGTGTTCTCTTCCTGACTTCAAAAACTTCATTGTTCAACTTTTGGGTTCAATACCCACCCCTACCCCTTTACTCCTTTTGGGTTCTCTTTTGGTTTTTTTTTCGTAATCGGATGTTTGGAAATAATTTTGTTTCACTATATGGGTGTAGTTCTACGTGAACATGAAGTGGACTCGCGGTTCCATCAATATATTCGTCATCACATTCCACAGCAAGATGGTATCACCTGATGCAGTCTTGATGTGGGTTGTCGGAAAAACTATTACAATGCTAGAAAGGTTGCTGATGCATTCACATCTCAAAACTCCCATCAAACTCAACCAATCCTCAATAAAAATATCTTAGTACTGGTAAATTAAGTAAATCTGAAAGATGTTTGCACTTATATTTAAGAAATAAGCAGACGAATGAGAAAGAATGCTATCAGTTAGTGATAGACCAAAAAACTAGTACGACCTGATCATGAGCGTGGTACTTTTCGATGATCATCTACCACTAAGGGATCAATGAGATGAGAATTGATAACGTGATGAGGAATAAACCAACATGATCCCTCTTTTTTGTACAATGTGCTTTTAAAAATTGGGAGAGGAAAACCGGTATGATGCTTATGCAGCGTGAATGGCATCGGATGAATGCCAATGAGAGTTGATCCGATGGTTGGTGATGGTAAATGTTTGTGGCACACAACAGTCTTCATCAACTAGTTTACACGACATAGGAGAAATTCAGCATACCTAGGCTGACAGATAAGACTGAAGAGCACTCACTCATCACCATAGACGCATAAAAATTCCACCACGGATTCTTCGACTTGATAATAACATTCTCACATCGTCGATGGCTAGGAGAACTACGCATGAACGCCCAACAAACCGCCTATCTCTAAGAAAAACCCAAGACAACGTCGACCTGTCGAGAACCTTGGCGCCGGATTATAACGTGCGAAAAAGAGACACAGTGTACAATGTGAAATCCTGGACATTAAAGTCAATTTCCTTTCGGCAGTACTTACTAATCATGACAGTACGTGAGATTCACGAATCCGATCCCACCGAATTGCTATTGCATGCTTATTTGGGTGAACTATTTTCACGTGCTGTACCGCTTTTAGCGTTTCTTCCACTGGTCTCGTTCTCTTGCAACCATCATTCACAAGAGTGGTCAGGTTCGTGTGCTAACTCAACTGCGGCTTGACAAAACGTCATAATCTCATCATTGGTATGATGAATACCGGTTTACTGCAGTTCTTTCCGAAATGCTGAAATAGCCTTTCCTACAAGTTCCCAAGTTAACCCGAGATGGTCGCCAGATCTTGTGGATTAAAAGGAGAGGCTTGTTACACTGTGAACCCGGTTCTTTCAGCACGATACACTGAATCCTATCATTACTCTGCTGACCGGCTGAGAACGATGTATGAAGCTAATTCACAGATTTAATTGCTAGCTATAACAGAACCGCTATTGTAATAAACAATAATGCCGTCAAAAAAAGATGAACGTCTAATTTTGGTTAGCTAGTCCAAAAATGAAAACCTAAGAACAACGGCTGTGATCTGAAGCTCTGCAATTTAGTGGAATTAAGATGAAACCAAATGAAGCATAAAACGTTGTGCAGTGAACAGCACAGACCGGTACGGTGGACAACTGCGATCATCGAGGATTCATGACGCATACCAAGGAGAACAGGAAGGAAACCGACGAGGAGTGAAGAACGACGTGCTCAAGGAGGCATTGCAAACAAGAACGACGTGGACAAAAATCACCAAGAACTTCAGCGATGTTCTCTTAACTCCGAAATAACCCCCACTTTCGTCTTTCCTGGCTAGCTCCTCCTTTTGTATCTACACTTTCCAGTGCTGATGAAAACTATATTAACGGAATTTAGATAAATGTGGATAATTTTAGCTCAGTCACTTACTGCAAGCATACGTGACATTGAAGCCAATTTCTTATCCCCCTTTAGATAAAATACTTATGGAAATTTAGAAGACAAGTAAGACACGAAATCTATAGACACTGGATGAATCGAAAGTCAACAAATCTACTGAACCGAGGGATAATAAGATGAAATGGTGCTGGAAATGAGGATCAACGGTTTAAAAAAAAAACACGAGACTTGGAAGGACAATGTTTGAATTTTCGGAACAGGCCTGGCACCCAGAGCCAGCAGTTTCTATCTACCATCGCAATCGATAGGTCAAAGAAAGTGCTACATAGGGTTTTCACGCTGTTAAGGGACAATTTAGGTTAATCGTATGCAAATCTATACCAATAACACGTGCGAGAAGAACCTGGGGAACACCTTGGAGATGGGAGTTCCCACGGAATATTCAATACCGTAGCCATTTTTTCTAGTTTTTAATACAACTTTAAGTAAAACAAGCGAAGCAGTTTGGTAAAATTTGAGATGAGAAACAATGTTATAGGAGAGTTACAACATTGAAAATCGATAGGTATTGCATGTTTACGACGACTAGGCGATAATTGACGATCAATGATGGCCGAAAACCTGTTGGAACTAACTGGTCGACAAGATGTCAAGACGTCCAGAAGACGCTTGGTAAAATTAGAACGTAGAAAGTTGACATGAGGAGCGGAAAATGAAATGAGCTTCAACTGGATTCAATATTCTAGCCGGCGTCTGAAAGTCTTGGACGAGTTCATTATCGATCCGGAACAGTTCACCGGAAAGACTCCAATGCACAAGAATGACAGAAGAACAAATCCGTAAACTAGCGTGTGAATACGGATACTGGATGATTGAGAACATATGAAAAGTAGTATGGATATCAGTTCACAGTGTGAAGAAATGAGCTGAAGAGAAATTCAGAGTCCAACTGCTCGATAGTTTGACTTTTATTTATTGAAAACAATTATACTTTATAGACTTGGTTCAGCAGAATTTGAAGGCATGAAGGAGTCATTTGTAGATATTCGAACCAACAGCAGCTAAAAATGGGTAATAAATCCAAATATAGATAAATGATAGCGTTTTGTTCTTAAATGAGTAAATGTGGGGGTACAGCATAGTGGTTAAAAGTGCCCTGTCAAACGCACGTGGTGCTTGGTTCAATAGCGGACCTTGAGCAAACCAAGCCGACCATGTCTTTGGGGTCAACAAAATGATGCCATACTTGTCTTAGAGGATAACAACAGCAGTCTATTCAGCCAAACACCTCCATAAAAGAACAGAAAAATCGTGAAACCAGTATTTCAGTCGTCGCATTAAAAAGGAAACAGCTTTCACACACTCACTGCTTTCTATGAGTCTTCAACTGATTATTTCACGTGCAGAGCAACCGCGTTGAGTCCACATGGATGGGTGATGTGGCTTTCTCACATTAAAATATCATTCCTAGATATTGCGTGAGATGATGTTTGATAACGAGGCATTTCTCCATGGTTCATTTCTGCTTCCTTAGAATTCATCCAGAACTATTGCACTATTTATCCAGAATTGGGACTTATCAAATACATCGGCAAACTCTCTTGAGACATTTCATAAGTTAAATACACCTTTAATCAATTCATTGGTGCTTGATCGTAGAGTGGAGTGCTTGACAATCAGAAAGGATTCCTCAACGCCGAATGTTTTGTTTTTTATCCTTTATGGAAGAATACTGTTGAAGTTTAAACAAAAAAAACTTTTCCAGTTGTCTCTTTAATCATTCGAATATTAAATGACACGAGCGATTTTAAAATGTAGTGCTGCGGTGAAGGACGATGAAGAGTTCACCAAGACAACAATAACGACAACAACAATAGACGCTATAGATGGGCCACGCGGTGAGCGGCAGTGGTTGGGTAGACGGAAGACAGAGGGTAGGAGGGCGGATGTATGTGCATGCATGGGTGGGTGGGTGGTGGCGATGATGTTGGAGATGCTGATGGGAAAGGTGAAGGTGCAAATGGATGCGCATTGGCTGCGCAACGTTACTGAATGTCCTTGGCCTATTACCATGCGCTACGAGACTTATGCTATTGCTGTTGGTGGTCCATACTGGATTATAAATCCTTTGCCATACTAGAAGACACCATCCATGTGTCCTCCGTCCTCCGAGGTGTCACCGGGACAGCTTTCGTCAAATGTATGATGGTTGACATAGAATACGATCACGAAACTAGTTCATACCTAACCAAACCGTCATCAACGATATCTCCCAAAAAATAGTTCCGCTAATTTATTGTAGAGCGAGTTTTGTCCCGGTTTTCATCTAGCCTTCTAGGAATAGCGCGCGCTTATAAAATCTGATCTAAGGAACCAGCGACATATGGAACACTTTAGATACGAAGGATGAAAAAAAAACATCTCAATTAAACGAGCGTAATTTCCTGGCCCTACTTACAGATGTTCAGACAGCTAGGAATGCGTCGTATGGGCAGTAAGTACTTGGTTGTTACCGTAGTGTATAGAGCCCACATACTACGTCTGTGAATAATAAATAGTCACCATGATCTGGGAAATATGGTTTTTCTGAGAAAGGGTAAACCAGGATACGAAGACGTAGTTCTAAATATTACATAGGTAAATGTGAGAAATTTCAATAACATGAAAGAACTGACTTCTATATACCTGTAATGGAGAAAAACTGTGGGAAACTGCTGCAATGTTTCGTTCGTTAACTAAGCACTCCTTCGTTACAGTTAGTTATGTCAAGGAATGGCGGTGATCTGGCATGGAACATATCTTAATCTTCACCAATAGAATGAAATACGACTGTTTTCTTCCATGATTGGATTTGATTACTATGGTTACATCTAGTTACTGATGATTATCAATAAAGAGAAAACCGTATGCTGCTTGTACCTAGTTAGAATACATGGGACGCTTATTTCGGCCTAGTCGGTGGCTTAGGCTAATTAGCTCCTGCTTGGGAAATCGCTGTAACGTGAACGAATTCAGTGCTTCGATCATAAATCAAGGTGCGAACAAATTATGAAGTTCTCATAGATCTTGAAGAACGATTATGACAAAGAGTTCTGGTCGAATTTCTCTGAACCAACGGACAGTGGGGGATGATTTGAATGACAGTCGCTAATAAGTGACGACGGATCGTACGATGTGATATCGACGCAGCAAATTAGAACACCTACTTGCACAAGTTGATAGAATAATGCAAATTTCTCGCACGTACAATGATTCCTGTAAAGGACCACTATGGCGTTCTCAGAATTTTCTGTGCGAAACCGTTATAGAGAATACAATTACTCCTATTCCCCTAGTGAATGATTCAAGTGTTAAACAGTGATTTCGTGCAAGAACACCATTCTCCGAACAAGGTCACGCTATTTGGGAATGAGTTCAACATCTCCAAAGAAAGGTGGAGTCAAGAGTAGGCCTAAACAAGCTAATTGAGCTGCATATGGTTACCCTATTGCAAAAAGAAATAAAGTAAAGGACATCATATAAAAATTACGATGAACTTCATGTTGCTTGAACTGATAAAGCTCAATGATCAGTTTTTGTGTGCGATGACGACGGAAAGAGTTTACTTTACGGCTTGAGTTTCTCGATGATTAACAAGATTATAGGTGATGCAGGTGGTACCAGAACCATCATAACATGCAGGAAATTCCAGTCTATGTCCTTAAAATATTCAGGATACAAAATCCTCAGCAAGTAAAGAGTTCTGCGTAATTTCATATGTAATAAACACAGCTCTTATACTGCTTTTTCCCAAATATCCGGGGAACAAACCGTGCAGAGGTCGATGTTAGTAGACTGACGCTGATGTACAAAATACAACGCACCTAGTGAGTTAAGCCCTCGAACATCCCGTCCTTGCGAGTCATCGTGAAGTCTTCAACACATTTTGAACTTCACTAATGGTGCCAGATTACGATGTTTCTTGCTAGAATGCGACGATTCCTGGCAACGATTGTTCCATAATTTTAGGATTTGAGACCAATTTTTCGAACTCGTTCTTTCTCACCTTCTGTGATCCTGGGAGGGCATGAACTCTACGTCGTCGTGTCTTAGTTAAACATCCAGAAGCACTCCAGAAGGTCAACAGCACATGGAAAACCGCATGAGGAAAGACGTTTGTTCTTCGACGCGTGCAAAATTGCGATTAGATCTTTTAAAGTAGTCTCTGAAAATAACCAATCACCACTTTTCGTGATTGCTTCGATGATTTCTAACACATTACTTAATTCGATAAATAGTGAAATAGGAGAAAGAGAATGTTAAACTGCATATGGCAAGTGGTAAGAACGTCAAGGTGTGCGATAACATTGATAAGTATCGAAAGACTCTCGAAATCGTCCGCTTTATCAAATGTGATGTGCTGTGCCAGATTTTGGTGTAAAAGATATCCAAACAACTTTTGTAGATCTCAGAGGGCTTTTCTTCACCTTTCCAATTACAACCTGTTCCATCTATTTCCTAATCGATGAAAACGGAACGTCCACAACTATTAGAATATGATTAGGGAGAAAAAGTATAAGCATCCAGTGAGGGAGGGAGGTAGACAGACAGGGAGCGGGAGAGGAAAGGATATGGGAAGAAAAAGAAGGACGGAGAGGCATCCACTTTGAAATTAATTCGAATTCCAAGGATATCCCGAAAGCGATCAAAAGTTGGCTACTTACGCAAACACTCAGTATAATGGATGCATGGTTTTGTCGAATGTTCCGACGGCGATGAGTTCCGAATTGATGTCTTCACACGCAGAACAATTCCTCACGATTCCGACAAAAGGCATTGTGTCATATAGGCAATACTCTATGATTAATGAAAGATATTCGGTGAAAACATCACCTTGTTGCATAGGGTTTTAATTATTAACGGGTTGCAAGGATGCAGTATTGGTGAAATGATCAGTACGAGCAAATCCCTAATTTGGCCTTCAACCTAGCCAACCAAGCTCCCTATCCCTCTTGAGTAAGGAAATTGGTAGTATGCCTACCCTAAATCAGCTCTACCTTCAAAATCTACGAAAAAAGATTGTAACTTCATGTGATGATTATCAGGAAACCGCTTAACATACCTAACCTAGGATTCCAGAAAGAACTGGTTCGACCGCTCAACGACATGGGCGAAAAAGACCAAAAAATTCAATCTGCCGTCGAACTGACACGTAATTCCAATAAATTTCGTTGATGACAGCTGCGTGACAACAAACCGATTCAAAAAAGTTCTGAGATTCGCAAAATGTGTGACGTCGACTAGGTAAAAAACTGCCATGTAATATTACCGTTTTCTTTGAGATTCTTTGAAAGGGGTCAATTTGTCAAATTTTGCAAAATCCCTGGGATAAGATAATTCAAGAAAGTAGCGTAAAGCTTGAGTAACGCCTCACTGAACCGATGCTTGAACTTTCCTGCAACCATAAACAATTCTTTGAACTCTTTTTTTTGTCTGGTTAGAATAAACTTTTATTGGAAAGATCTCTGGAAAGTGAAGCATGCAGTGAAGTTAAAGGATGCTAAGGACTTTTTTCCAGATTCACCAGCAGATGGAAGTAGCTCGCGAGGAATCGAAGTCAAATCGGATTATATCTGCGAAGTGTGACGAGAAAGACCCGCACAGTTGAAAACAACTCCTTCCCAATTCTCCATGCGTGATGGATCACTGGATTGCAGTATTTCTAGAAAAAGTAGACACAAGCTAGAAGAGAAGAATGAGAATAGTAATAGATAAAACAAGATGTTCTAGAAGAGCGTATGCAATACGTATGCAATGGTGCAGCACAGTGGCGAAGTTTCCCAACAATACACGAGCAGTCGTTGATTCAATCTCGCACCGCAGACATTCCAAACTCTCTATCCTTCCCGTTGTTACCAGAGTAGCCTCGATGTGTCTGGGAGAAAACACTGACTAGATACACCAGTAGGTTTCTTTGTAAGTATTTATATAAATCAACTTTGCACTCATTCTCCTCGGCAGTACAACAAATGCTGTCGAGTGCACGGTGTTACCTCGAACGCTTTAGCAGTCATCGTTTTATGGGATTTATAGTTAGGCCTGTTTTCAAATTATATTTATGTCTTCACAATGTTTACTTTTTATTTTCTGCCTTCTATTATTTTTATGGCACGGTATTAAGCGAAATACAACCACAAGATTGCTGAGATATTTGCAAAACTCCGGACCGCAGGTGACTACGGTGGGGAACGAACGCGCTATTGTCCTTTCCGGGGAGTTACGCGTTCACCACCACACCATGCGGGTCCTTTGTTTCGCCTGTCTATCAGCTAGTTCTATCGATTTGCGCCGTCAGCCATCACCCGTAAGAACTAGCCTGAGAGACAGGCGAAACGAACGACCCGTATGGTGTGGTGGTGAACGCGTACTCACCGGAAAGGACAATAGCGCGTTCGTTCCCCACCGCAGTCACCTGCGGTCCGGAGTTTTGCAAATATCTCAGCAATCTTGTGGTTATATTTATGTCTATTCTTATGTGGCCCAATAGGCCATTATTTCTTTTCAAGTTTTATGACACCTGAACAAAGGGGTCTTGAGATCTATGCCACGTGTAAATATGGCTTTTGTGGTTGACAGGACCCTCCCGAAAGCATTTTGCGACTGAGAGCACCTGAAAGGTAGCAGAATAAATCGCAGCTGATCGTTTCCTTTAATTATGTCCGATTTTACAAAGAAATGAGCCTCACTTCAGCATAGGTACATTCACTTAATCGAAAAGTGAGTCCAATATGGCGACCAAAACCAATGGTTAATTCTTAGGAAAGTGGTTAGGAATAATAATAAATACCAAATAGATAGAAATAATAATAAATGCTAAATGAATGACAGGGGGCGGATAGCACAATGGCAGTGATATGATGTTCGTCATCACGAGCATGGTGCTGGCTCGATTCCGCGCCGGGCCACCCAAGCCTGTCATCCCTCTGGGGTAGGAGAATTGGTAGCAGACTTGACTGGAAAAAATCACTCTCTGCAATCCAACTGGTAACGCTCCGACCCGCCTATCTCAGGACTGTAGGGGAGAATTGCTCAACCAGCACTCTACGACATTAGAGATGAAATGAAAATCCTCAAGCAGCAATTGATGTCACAAGTAAAGTT